ACATGTGGCTAAATTTGGCTTGGAGCGAATTTCTCTGCAGGCTGACATGAAAAACACTCAATTTTATCGCAAACCTCAAAAAGCGAGTGCATTTTATGGACTTCGCCAGCCTTCTATCTCGACATCCTGTTCACTGTCCAATCTGCATTTTTGATGAACTGCAGGTCATCGAATAAATTAACAGAAATTACATTTCACACGACTTTGTAACGCAACGTACCGTCTCAACCGCTGTTCTTTTTCCCTCTGCATTTCGTTCTTTTCCCCCTGCAAGGAGAGGCCAGAACGCAACTAACGCAGAAACACATGTTAAATTGTAAGGCAACAATTGTTCATACTGTTAACAATCAGACTGCTTCAAGCTTAGCGTAGAAACGCACTATTACACCGACAGGCCTCGTGCGTCGGTATTGGGATTGGGTTCGGATTTTTATAGCGGTAATCGTGATACCACCTTTTTTCTTCTACATAAGATTCTAATTATCGTTACAACCATTGCTCAGCAGCAAATTTCTTGCTGAAAATAACAAACCCAAAGGGTCCCTCCTCAAAAATTGGGTCTGCTTCTTAGTTCCTACCTCCAACCAGGATCTTTGCAGTCAGTAATCCGGCCCCCCCCCCCTCTCCTCCTGCTATTATATATCATTCGGGATTTAGACTACCACTCCCGACCTCACCTATCTCCTTCCCCCTTCCCCGTCCGCTTCCCCTACCAAGACTCCTCAGTTATTGTAACTTGCCTCCCGACTCGACCGAGCCGAGTAATTGGCACCTGCTAAAACTGGGTTCGATTGGGTAAGAGCAAGCTGTAGTACTGGGAGTGAGGGATTCATCAGACAACAATTTTCTCACTACTCCATATTATTTTCCAAACTGAGGGGCAATAAACAATGCATTTTTTCCACTTTTTCAGGTAACTTAAGCACTTTACTAGCGACAACCACCTTCTGGTAAACTGTCACTGGTTCTTTTGAAAGATTTGCTTAGGAACAAAGCTGAAAGCGGTTCTAAAACTGTTAAATCAAAAATTTCCGCTTTAGGTTTTAAATGAAATGAGTCTAAGGAAAAAGGAAACAGCTAGCGATAGCACTGGACAGCGCCTACCTTCACCAGTGATAGCTGCATTAGCGGCTTCCAACAATAGTCCTTATCACAGAAGAAAGGAAGAAGAGTGAGTGATATTCATTATTTATGAAAGAGAAAGAAAACAAGAACGAGCTGGCGGCATCCCCGGCTAGGGACCATTTTTCGAAACTTTAAAGTCATCTATTCGAAGAGAAGTGTGATGCAAACGGGTGAAATGTGCATGCAGCAGCTCGTTTGTGAGGAAAGAAAGCAGTCATCTCGTAACACCAACTAATAATCCTGCGGCATAATTAAAGCGATGACGATTGACATGAAAAACTAGCCTTGACCGACTTACCGGTGCCCTATATAAGCTGGACAGTGTAAGCGTATGTCAGCATCACACATTCGACCACAAAATGCTTCTTAGGATTTGCCTTCTTGCTTCGGTACTTTCCACAGTTGCCTACTGCTTCAGACCACCACGGTCAGTTGTGTTTGCTTCATCTCTTCCATCAAACTATCCCACCTTTCCGAACTTATGGATTCTCTAAAGTTATGAGCTACATACGAAAAATAGTATGAGTCTCTTCCCCACCCCTTTCAATCAGAGCGTTCAAAACTATCGTGTCATTTGAAGAATTTTTTTTGGGAGGTCCAAATGGTCATACGTAGCTTTTGTGTCTCAGCCAGAATCCACTAGAATGCAGGTAGTTCTACTGGTATTGTCTGAAATAAGGTTCGGAAGACACTTTATTGACTAAAATTTACTAGCAGAAATCATTTAATAACTGCAGTTTGACAAAAACATGCTGGATTGCTAATAATATAAATGAAAATTCCTTAACAGTGTGGTGTTTATTGTATACACAATAAATATTTGTAAATAT